CAGCCCCCATTATGCGAAACAAAACACGTAGCGTCCTCTTAGGTGTGGTCACGTGCCTTATTTTAGTGACTCTTATTTGAAGTGAAAGGGCTACTGCTGTGCAAGAATACTGGAGGTGTTTTGCGTTAATATCGAAATCGGACCAAAAGCGAAAGGTGCGAAGGCCTGACCTTTATTTTGATTTCTTTCCAGTACGTTACAGCCTTGAAAGTGTCGTGGAGTAGATATTAATTACTAGCAGTAGTTGAATTTACGCAAAAAATTTAGGAAAATGGACAGCGATGGTTTACCTATTGTAGGACCAAATGTCGATTACACCAAGGTACGTTCCTGTGTAAAAATTATTAGCTCATGCATTCTTATACTTAAAAATCAATAACTGTACTTTTCCGTGTGGTACATAGGATTTTTGGTAGTTGAAAAAAGAAAACGTCCATTAAGAAGATGCTTAATCTGGTCGTGTTCGGAAATGGCATTTTCTTGCTCAGGGGCATAAATTAATTTCCAGTGTGGGTAACCCGAGTGTATACAGATCGTCTGCACAACAGAGTAGGGCAGACAATGAATTGACAGAAATCAGTGAAGCTAAGCCTTTGCTTCCTTGTCTCTTGTTCTGGTACAACTTGTTTGGGCTTTGCCATAATCATTATATGATTCAAATGGTAAAATATTTTAAATGCAATGTGCGTAGTCCTGTTCAAATGTGAAATTGAATGAGTTATGTTTATTTGGTTCACAGGTTGGGCCAATAAACCACAAGAGAACCTTAGCATTCCTCAATCATTTTATTACTCATTCTGTTAGATTCCTGAACAGATTTTCATGTGTTTGTGAAGAGGTGAGTATCTATCACAAAAGTGAATAGTTAACTTTGTTGCAAAAATATCTTCAAGCACAGGACCAAGGAAAAGGATGTCGTTCTCCCTGAATAGGGGTGTCCCTTCAAAATGGGTGACGGATATAAGGATTATATGAACTTTTTTTTGGGACAAAAGTTTGTCTACCCTGAATGGAGGTGTCCCCTGAATAGAAGTGTCTGAAGGGAGAGGTTCCACTGTATAAAGCAAGAACTGATTAAGAAATGGTGATTATAACTTAAGCAACTGAGAATATCAAATAATTGTTTGTACCTCATGTTTTTTAATTACAGAAATTAGCAGATTTATCCAATAAGATCCAGAGAATTGAAATAATGATGAGCATTTTAGAAGCCAAGGTAGGACTCATTGCTGCATTTGTAATATTCGAAAAGTAGGAATTTAAAGCAGAGGTGTTATAAAATGTTCAAAGCCTTGGAGAATCTTCAGGTCTTAGAAAAAAATTACTGGAATCCAATATGGACATAACCTGCCGACAAAATTTTGTCTCTAGGCTTATTATTTCAGTTTACCTAATAAATATGTAAGAAGTACTCTTTCCTTTCCCTCGAAAAAGTTGCTTTGTTGTGTGTGTTACATCACAAATTTTATGTATCATCTTTTATATTTTATGCTTTATATTTATCTAATTTTCATACAGATATTTTTGTTTTGTTGCCAAGTGTTTTATACACGAGCCTTGTTGCTTAGAATATTGGCCAACCACTTCCCATGTCCTTGACAATAAATAAATTATTACATTACATCCCTTAGGGACTGTAACAATTCCGTTATCTTGCTTGGCGTTTTCCTTGGCCTGTGTGATATTGACCATTTTGCCAGGATATCACTGCCCCATTCGACAAGAATCTCCTTCTGCATTAGTATCCACCACCAGTGCAGCAACCAAGTATATAATTAAAAGAGCCACTTCCACTTACACGAAAATACCAACCAAAAGCAACTTTGAAAAAGAGAAGTGGGTTAGGAAAGGTTTTATGCATACATTTGGAGTCAAAATAATTCTCCTTTTGGTGAACAGTAGTTTCCCAGAGAGTTTTGTTTACAAGTGAATCTCTTTTAAATCATTGATCTTAACTGATTGGTTTTATTCTCAACCACTGGTCATGATGAGAAATTATTACACATCAATTTATCTTTTTCATTTGCAATGTAGTTAGCATCTATCCCAGGCCTTGAGGATGTAACAGTGTCAACACCTGCGCCAAGTCAGCCTGACCAGGAAGCACCCGCTCCTGCTCCTGCTCCAGGCATGGCTCCTCCTCCAGCTCCTGGTGCACCACAACCATCAGCAGAAGTATGTTAACCCTTTACACCCTAAAATCAGTATGCATTTTCTCCATATAGTTCTCTATACATTTCCTAAGGTACTGACAAGGAGAATTTGTTTAACAATCAAGAGCTTCTTGAGTTGGTGTTCATTTCCCATATTCTCCTGACCTTAATGTGTAATTGTGGGTTGTTATTATAAGAAGAAATTACTTGTTAGTCAGTCTTAGAGGTCAAAGGGTTGAGTTAACAAATAATAACAGCGTAATAGTGTAGCCTTAATAATTAATAGTGGGATCTTGGTAGTGAAAGGGTTAAATGATACCCATACCTCAAACTTTTTAAGATATACCAGTAAGTCCCCCTCTTATAATAAGGACTTTAAGAAAACCATGATGGCAACGGCAGTGAGAATGTAGCAAAATAAAAGCTATCTGCAGAACAGTAGCGAAACATGTGCATTTTAAATTTTTGGACATTTCTTTGCTGTCCCATACAAATCTGAAACATTAAATTGCCAACTTTTACATCCTCTCAGCAAGGAAACCTCAACAGCAATTTGGTCATATTTTTACCTTGAACTCAACATTACATTCACATATTATGCCAAAGTGAAGATGTTGTACTGTCAGAAACATTGAATTTATCTAGTTATTGGTGAAAGTCTTAGAGGAAAATAAATTACATTTTTCAGCAATGTTTTATGACAGGTCACCATAGTGACATCTTAAACTCCCTATTTATGCATTGGAATGCATGAGACATTTTGCTCAATTGGTGGGTTTGTTGGACTCCTCATTATAATGCCCAGGTTCAAGTCCTGGTGGAGTCACAATCTTGTGTACTTTGGAAAATATTTTACTTGTGCTACCCAAAAGAACAAGTTTGTGTAGCCAAAGCAACTTTCTCCCTCAAGAGAAACTTTCTCTTAGGGAGAAGCCTTGCATGACATCCCAAAGAATGGCTAGGAAGCAGACTTAAGCCTTTAACTCCCAGAAGTGATTAACATAAAACTTCTCCCTACAATATCTATACATTCTTCAGCAAACAAGTAATGAGAATATTCAAACTTACCAGGTAGAATCTGCTATCTTGATCTAGCACTAAGTTCTCATAACTAATTTACAAGGAAATGTGTAGCAGCTACAGGGGAGAATTAACAATCAGATCTTGGGAGTTAAAGAGTTAAGGAACAGAGGATTAGCCCTGTGATGGACTGGAGGGCCATGTAGGGGGGAGGTGAGGGGTGCTAATATTGCTGGTGAGTTAATGCAATAAAAGCATGAAAACCTGGATGGCCCTTTTGGCCATTGAGCTGGCTTGACCAAGTTATCTTGATTATATCCACACAGGCATCCCATCCACCCACCACAGAAGAACCAGGTAGGAATCAAAATACTGGCAACTTAGTTGGAGTATTTTTTGCTAAAAATTATAAAACAAGAACTTTTAAATAGTTTATGATGTTTATCAATATCATGATAATTAATTGTGCTGCTGTAAAAACAATGTGATAATTGCAAACTCTCAGTAGGGGAACACTGATATATTTCTAAGTTTTCTTTCTAAGGTGGTCAGGATGGGTTCATCTTCTGTATTAGGGAAATAGATTTGTCATAGTTTGATAATTCTTGAGATGTCAATAACTAATAGACTTAGCATTTATGATTTAAAAAGAAATGTCCTGGTCCCTTTATCAGAATAGAAGGTTGGTCTCCTAATCTCAGCCAAATGGAGCTTGCACCAACCATTGAAGCTATCCCCAAGTGTTATTCTCTGTTCAGCTAGCTCAATTCACTTACTACTTGTTTTATCCTTTTTTAATTTTCTATGAAATTTACTGATCAGCTCCAGAACCAGAGAAACCAGGTAGGCTCAGCAACGGATACAATTGCCATACTGTCAATTTACTTAAAAGAAAGGAAAGTGTACATTACAATTAGGCACTTTGCCTTAGAAAAAACTGGAAAAACTTTACTCAAAATCCAATTTAACTAACTCTAGACTGCTAAATTCAACACTTTTCAGGCTCAGCTGGACTGTATATAATATGCTTGATAAAGGGCTTATGCTCAAAACTTCTGTCAGTGTTAGAACCCCTAAAATTGTGAGGTGTCCTTGTTAAAAGATAACTTGGCATAAGGGATAAGCAACTCAGAACATTGTGACATGGTGCTTTTATGTGTCAACCACACAAATAAGTCTTTTTGATGTCACCAAAAAAAATGTTGAGGAAAACAACTAGTAGATCATTTATCTTTTCTTTTTTTTCTGTTTTTTTAGCAATGACTGTTTCCAAAGATCCTAGATATGCTAAATACTTTCAGATGGTTAAAGTGGTGAGTATTTTTCCATAATTAAAGGCAAAGGCAAAATTAGAGGAAGAAAATAAAATGCAGATGTTATGATAATTCTTACTGCGACTTGCTACTTTTGACACATTCTAAAGACTGTATATAGTAGGTGCTTCTCTTTAAAATATACCCCTAATTTGGGACTCAGTAAACAATTAACACTTTGATTTGATGCTGACACCTCAATTGTGTACTGACAAATTACATGAAAGTTCAGGACACAGAAGCAAACCCCAAAATCATGTACAAATGGCAGTTACTGTAGGGGATTTAGTTTTGTAAGAGTATGATTGGCATTTTCCTTGAAATGCATCAACACTCCATCAATATTTCTCATGTGAACAGTTCTCTTAAGTTTCAAAGTGAAATGGAGAGGATTCAAATAGAAATCTTAACCTGCTTTTTTATTCCTGTCTCAAATTGTCCCAAGGTTCCATCAGGCTTGTTTAATTCTCTTGATTAAGAGGGTGTAAATTCAGTATAAACTTGTGGGGGTACTTTCATTTTTTAGGGTGTCCCACTGATGGCAATTGCACCCAAAATGCGAGCAGAGGGCCTTGACCCAAGTATGCTGGAGTAAGTACCATGAAAATCTTCCTTTTATTGTCCTGTCAGCCAGTTTTCAAAGTTTTTTTTTTATTTTTGATTATTAACCATCACAAGCATTTCATACACACAAATGATTTACATGTTCTCCATACAGCATAGTAGGAGGTGGGGTGGGTGAGTGGAGGGGGTGCTGGACTTGTATTCTGTCCTCCATCCTGCTACTCACTGGATTTTTGATTTGTTTACGGTTGCCCCATCTTCAACTCCTTAGCTGTGCTGTGTAAATAGCCAACTGGTCTGCCTCCTGCCAGTTGAGATTTTCTAGCACTTTGCAAAGTACTGTTTCTCTCTCTTTCATTTTGTATAGTGCTTAGAGGCTTGCAATAAGAGTTATATGATTCTTTTTTTTCATGGCATTGTTTTCCAGAAATCCTGATGCCCCAGCCCCAGATGGTGGCCCAGCACCAGCCCAGGAGGATGACTCTGACTCAGAGATGTCATCAACATCTTCCTTTAGCGATGACGATTGATAGATGGTCATTGGATGAAATGCTTATGATCCCTCTGTACTACAGCCTAAAATGAACCTTCAAACGATCTTAATACTTTGAGGGGGAAAATGTGAATTGTTTATTTGCCAATAGTACTTTCAAGAACCAAATTAAGAATTTGTTTTTCATTGTGATGGATGCCAGCTGAAAAATATTCTCTTTCTTCCTACCTGACGCAATACATCACCAATCATGACTTTTTTCTTTGTCTTTTGCTGCATTTTATCATTTCACTTTGTCCTCCGCCTGTTAAAGTCCATTTGACAAATAGATCCCATGTTTCTGTGAGTCAGTTCAGTAACAGACAATGTCAAAATGTGGTAAGGGGCACACAAGGTGCCACTGAGCATGTCACTATTGTTCTCATTTTGGTATCTTCTGTGATCTATTACTGTACAGACAACAACAACATACCATCTACATTTCTTTTACATGAAGAAAAAGCAACATGTTTTTAATGTTGATATCTATTGTGTCTGTCCTCCAACAGATCATAAGTAAGAACCAGTCAAAATTCGAGCATGATTCAGCTTATCATATAAATATGTACATTTTTGATAAAGCCTTCCTTTATTTGATTGTGCAATTACAAAGGTCTTTAGTATGTTTTCATTTTTTTTCACATCTTATGTTATATCTTATATACAAGATATGATTTTAAAAATGTCCTTTACAGATCTTTGAGGCAATAGATAAAGAATGCAATGTGCCTGCTTCCAAAATTACAGTGTTGAATAAAATTTCTAAGTTAAAAGTCTACTTGAGTAGAATTTGTAGAAGCGTAGTGGGTATTACATGCAATTGATACCCCCTGAATTCTATAGTCATCATCGTTAGAGTCTTAGTGTAGTTATTTTACAAACAAAGATGTAATTATTTGTAAATATAAATTGATGCAAATTTTTACCAGCAATAAAGCTTGTCATGTCGATGAAGAATTAATGTTGTTTTCAAATTTGACACTGAAGAAGAGGATACTGTGTTAAAATCGCTTAATATTTAACTTCTTGTACTCCCCGAGATGCACTCTCGATGCCCCATTTCTGATGAATACTGTTAACTGCCGCTTGCAAGCTTATAGACGGAGGTGCTTATACCCGAAAGAGGGGGGGACTTTTAATCGGATGTATTTTTCGTAAGGCTATAACTGGGAGAGGAGCTTGGAAGCGGTAGTTCGCGGTATGAGCACTAGTCGGAGTAAAAACCGTGGATTGCGTGGTGACAGAATGTCGTGAGTTAAGATTTACGCGCCTCTTTGACTTGTATCAACTATTTATGATAAGTTGAGGTAGGGCAGACAAATTCATTCTTAGGGGCTTTTCCCTTGAAGACAGGGAGACCTCCGTATCCCCCTTCAGTTCGAGGGAAAAGCCCTGGGAACTAGGTTGATGGGCTAGGGTTTCTCTTTGAGCCAAAGAAAGCAAATTGCCGAAACTTATTCCGGTTGTTAATGGCATGACTCAATTATTAGTATATCTAATCCTTCCTGGGTGCGCGGGCGGGCGCGCGTCCATCTCACTGCTATCATTCCGGTTCTAACTTAATTAAAGTTTCTTGACAGTTTGTAAGTACTCTTTTGAACTTCTTAGTGGAGAAAGGAAATGCGTGAGTTACGCGTCCAAACCTCCAGGCCATTCGTGAAAAGAGCTTAGTAATAATTCCTCAATCAATATTCATTACTGACGCACTTTTACATTTCACTCCAGCCTTTTCAAGCACGCTCAAATTAACATCTTGCGGTTGACGTTGCGAAATGAACTTGAGAATAATGACCGTCACTCTGATTGGCTGAAGTCTGCATCTAACAGCCAGTTGCCACATAAATTATATGCAACTACATTAATGATTAATTGAACTCATCAACATACATCTTGGTGGCGGTAGAAACTTGCAAAGCTGTGATGCGTTTATTCATGTATATCATTCCACAACGTCGAAACTAATGGTACTCGCGATGATTTAAGTTTGCTCAATGCGTAAAATAATTCCTTGCCTCGATAGGGGAAGCCATTCAAATGGCTCTAAGTACACCTGAGCCGGTAACGCAGTTGTATTTTGAGCCTGAAATCCATTACCTTTTAATAATCATTGATCTTACAAATTAGATACATTTTTTTTTCATCCTCTATTGCCCATTTCTAGTACCCCTTTGAAGTGTGGGCATGAGAAATGATCCTTTCCATTGCAACCTAAGGTTTTAGTTCTTGCTGTTTCGAAAAATATCGACTTCGGTAATACCCTTGGTGCACGATTTGGGCTGCGGGTGGTACTAATAAAACCGACATACGAATTATTTACTTTAAAAATAAATATTAAGGTGATATTCCAGAAATATCTTCCACTCTTTCAATAACCATTGCCTTACAAAGGTGTTGGAATATCTGAGCAAAAACTCTGAACCCACTTGCATAGTTGAATAAAGCTCTGGGTGTTTGCTTTTGTCTGAAATTTTCTTACGAAATTTGAATTTAAAACAAACTGTTACGACAATAACTTAATAAATTATGCAAAAACGTTATGTTCATCCTTATTGAAACAATAGCACTGGTACAACTTCTTGACTATAACTGTTCCTTGTAACAACATTGGGTGTATTTGAATGTCTCAAAAACCTTCTTGACAATTAGGAACTATTTCACGCAAAATTTTCATCCCTTTGCAGTTAGGGGAACCACTTTGCTTACAGGACCAAAATAAATCGACATCTGAAACTGCTCTTAATTATTTATAACGACTTACGTAAAGCTAATATTGAATTATCAGGTATGTGGAAGTTGTTTTGATATCCGTTCCAACTCACGCAGTGTTCTGCTAACAAAAGTGAAAATTACTGTTTGATGTATTGCCCAGAAAGTTCTTAGCAACATAGCAAGGTGATGTTACCATCTCGACAAATCACTAGCGTTTCTCCTGTAAAGGTTAGTGAATCTCGACTGCAATAATTCCTTCCACGATGTCAAGGAAGAAAACAACTGCAAAAAAGCCCGGAATCATTCAACAACGAAACTTCCAACAGCAATTGAAAACTGTTAAAAGTTTAGTCGAGGACATCGCCGATTCAGAACATCCTGAGGATCACGAGATTAAATTGAAAATCAAGGAGAAAACTGATCAAGGCTCTCCATCCTTTACTCAAAACTTCACACGAAACCGGGGACGAGAAAATACGTCAAAAACTCAGTCAGACACTTCTTCTTCTGACGCATTCTTCGATAATAATGGTTTTTTTAACGGATTTGACAGCGACTCGGAGAGCGAAGACAGTGGGGAAGATTGCGTTGAACAACAAACCGAGACTCGTGAATTAACGGAAGTCGAGAGACTCGAAGAGGTTCAGACAGACTTGGAGGAAAAAATAAAACAAACTAAGGAACTGCTCCAGAAAACAGACCGAACGAGAAATCAAAGAATGCATGGCCAACAGAAGTTGAGGCGACTTGAGCTAAAAGTTGAAAAGTTGGAGCAGCGTCTGGAAAAGGAGAGAGCAGGAAAAACTCGATGGACTTTTGTGCGCAAGAACTTAAGAAAGCCTAGGGTTGGATTTCACAGCAGCGATTTGTTAAATCGTAAGGTTCCACTGGCCGAACTGTTAGTAGCTTCATCAGAAAGCCGACCGCATCTGGCCGATGTTGTTCTCCAAGAGATGCATCGCGATGCTGCTGGTCAAAATCAAGTCGACGATGACCCCTCACCAAAGCCGAAAAAGCTTTTCAAATCGAAAGAACTCCATGAATTTGAGAAAAGTCTTCAAGAAGACGACTCCCAACAGCACAAGAAATTGACAGAATGTACAACCGATGACGTGTCGCCGGTTGAGGCAGCCAAACAGGGACTGAAACAAGACGAGAATGAAGAAGAATCTTTGGAAAGCTTCAACATAGAGCAACTAAAAGATCGAAAAGAGATGGATAAGGGATGGCTTCGAATCAGTGACAGGCCTGACGGTTTCATAAAGAAGATTCAAGATGTGTCAGAGACAAAGCAGTCCAAGCAGGCTTGGGTTAACATCAATGACCAAGGAAGTCAAATGTTTGCGAGGAAAGTGTTCCGGGCTCAGGTCAATGGTGACTCGTTCCTCGCGCGTTCACTGGACGGGAGAAGAAACACGCTTAGCAATCGCGGAAAAACATTGAACGTTGATAAAAGAATGTCTGTTTGTGGTTCCGGAGAGACTCATATCAACAGTAAAGACAAAAACACAGTCAAACGTGCCGGACGATCATCATCTGCGCAGTCCCAGCGAAAAGCGATGGTGGTGAAAATGGACACCGTTACTGGGACGAATACTTTTCTGCCCCCGATTCCAAAGTCTGAAGCGAAGAAACGCCCAAAAGACGAACAAGTGGAAAAAGTAAAAGATGAAAACGACAGTGAGCAACAGAAAGAAAAGATAATACTGATTCCTAATCGAAGGCGACTGGCCAGAAGAAGAATCCAGATTTACCTAAAACAGCTGGAATTTGTCAAGTCACACAAACTAGACGAAAAGGAGGTTGTAGAGAATATAGCATCCTCAGTCGAGGACTGCCACGGCGGCAAATCAAAAGAAGGAAAGAAGGAACATGACGCAAAAACAACTCCACGGAAAACTTTGTATTTAATTGGAGCATTGTCAAAAAATCACCTTTACCCTCCCACAGCGCTGCCGAATGATCGATAATAATGTTAGATTGCTACAGTAAATATCAATTTGAGTGTCGAAAGAAATCCGGATTTGCTTTGGTTTCGCTGTGCTGCAAGTATTAACTGGTCCAGGCTTGCGCCATTGTTTCAAACAATCAGATGCAAAACTAAAACCAATCGCGACTTGGTCGCCCGCGTTTTCCCGCGCTTAAGGCAATTTGGTTGCTGTCACTATGAGCTCTCATTGGCTCTTAAAACAAATTAGAGCTCCTTTTTCCTTTGTTATGATTGGCTCTTGTGATTGCCTTGGTTTTGATTTTATGGCACTTCGATTAATACGGAGGAATGCAACCTTCGATCCAAATGATGACGGTCTTCAGCACAACCGTGAAATTGTCAATACAAATGTGACAGCGAACGTCTTAAAGCATTGTTGTAGGTAGCTTTTATACAACTCTTTCGAAATAATCTTACATTGAGCCAGCGACAAAATTTTCCAGGGGTATCGTTGCAGCTAAAATGAGCGTTTGTATTCCAATTCCCGACAATTTGCAAAGGAACTGATTTCTGATCACAACCCTTAAATCTCTTTTTTTTTTTTTTTTTTTTTTTAAACAATTTTATTTACAAGACGATCACTTACACTACTTACAGCATTAATTACACTCACATTGTACTTGCTACTAACACTACTGATACTTATACTTACACAAATTATGCATGCACTACATTACGATACATGTATTACAATACTATTAACATTAATTTAAATTTACGGTTTGCAAAGTTCTTTTCAATTAGAAGACAATCACAAGTAAACATACAAGTCTCAAAAATGAAGTTAAGTATAAGTCTAATCTAAAAACAACAGCAGTATGAAAAATTAAAGTAAAAAAGCTCACGTGCGATAAAATTTCGGAAGTTCTTTTTTTGCGGTCGCGATCTCTTTTAGGATTTCAAGTTTTCCCGTGATGAACAGTAGGAAGATTTGAAAATCTAAGATGTCTCCGCAAAGGCTTGTGCAGAAAATGTGATATTTGGCTAACAATAGGCAATAATTCAGGACTTGCCAATGCTTTGTCCTATAATGCCAGCCATAGAGTATATGACTTGTGGATAACGTTATTGTTTCATTTGTTTTTTGGTGCCACCAGTCTTGAAACAGAATCCAGAAGTCGAGTATTAGTGTGCAGTTTATTAATAGGTGATGCAACGTTTGTTTTTCTGTATTGCATAGGTTGCATAAGGGGCTCTCTGAAATGCCGTCTCGGTAAACCCTTAAATCTCTTATGGTGAAGAGCATCACTGTGGTTTTCCTAATGAATCAAACTTAAGGCTCTTGAAAATAAGGAAATGATCAAAAACTTAAAAAACTCCTGTTTTTTTCTAAATTCTCCTTGTCAGTGCTATAGGAAGTGTATAAAGAACTGTATGGAGAATATACATGCTAATGTTAGGGTGTAAAGGGTTTAATGCGCTATATGCATTTTGAATATATCATTCATGTCAAGCCGAGGTTTTGCGTTTTATTTGATAAGAACTAAGCGTTTAACTTCACTCGCATCTGTACTGTGTACATGTAACTATGTACATGTGTCATGATGGTCGTTGGAAAGCACTTGGATTAAGAGATAGATTGTGTTACGTTAGCGAACTCAGGATCCAGTTTTCCAAAAGTTGAACTAGCCGCGAAATGCTGTTTGTACATTTTCTCTTTAAAATTGCATTTTTAGAGATGCGTGGTACAAATTACGAAGAATAGTCAGTCCTCTATGAGAAATGCAGATCTTCCCAATGCAAAAACCCGGTAAATCTTATTTTGCATCTTGAAGGTATAACGAAAGCCAATTCCACTTTCGGTTTGCTTTACCCAAATCACTTACAAAACTTTTGCCTAGGCACTCTTTATTTACGTTCTATCAGAGAATGACATAACGAAAATGATAAATTTAAGATTCAGGTGTTTTAACAAGTGGAATTTGTGATCAATTATGTTTCTCTGTTGCCGACGTCATCAGTTAAGGGAAATGTTCGTTGCAATCAGTTTGTGCGTGTGTGTACCCACTCAGTTTCACTGTTAGCCCAACATAATGCACTAATTAATTGAAAACTTCGAAACCTGAACACAGTAGTGTCGGAAGTACACGAATTATCAATCTTAGCAAATTAATGGGAGTCGATCATTGATATACATATCACGTCACCTAGCACGTTCCAAATACTCGACATTAAGATCTGTCCTTCATGAGAAATACCAATCCCAAAATTGACTCTTCTCAGACATAATTAACCCCTTTATTGGTAAAAATTTTGCCGTAGAAAAATATAAGTTTGAAAGTTTTTATACCCTTTTTTTTTAAAATTAATGACTATGAGAACCGTGCATGTCATTCTAGTGATATTTCCCAAACCTTATCTCTTGACCTTCACTTCACTGACTAATCCTAAAAAATTGTGATAAAAATTGTCATTGAATGGGAATGCCATACCTAGCATTGTAATCAATCAAATATTTTCTGCTTGCGCGCGATTAGTCTAAACGCATCACATGACTGAATACTTCCCAGCTAAAAATGGGGAATATCCGAGGATATACCTCAAGGGATATTCCACAATTTCAAACCTTACGTCAACTACGACGAGCCTCCATTTAAAAGTTTATTCAAGATGACAGAGCGTTTTGGGGTTGTTACAGAAAAAGGGACATTTTTGTTTGTTAATGACGTCATACCAGAGAGTACTGAAAAGTGAACATCCAGGGCAGCAAACAGTATTTTTTCCCGCGTCGCAAAATATTTGAAGGTATATATTTGATGATAAACACTATAGCCTCTTTTTGGCGCGAAAATACGCTCGTATATTTGTCTTTGGACATTATCTGTTCCTCGAAGCTTGCAGTTTTCCACCAGCTTCGCTCCCGGAAAACTGTCTGCAAGTTGAAACAGATAATGTGCACGCACAAATATCAGTGTGTATTTTCGCGCTAAATGGAGACTATTGTTTATTCTATAGCCTATTACTGATATGAATGAGCTGCCAGGAACAAAATTTTCTACCTGTAAGTCTGGTATCTGCAAGGATCTGTTCTTGACCTTTAAAGTTTTAAAGTCTTACATGGTTGTCTGGTTGATGACCGATAGGTAAAAGATATGTAGGTAACACAGGCATACTATACCTTCTTTATAAACTTGCCAACCAGTATGAGGACTGTAAATAGAAAATGGAGTCACAGAACGGATGAGGGAGGCAAGACCACCAACTTTAGCCACCTCTATAGCGCCATATACTCGATAAGCCACTGTCTTTCCATAACTGATCCACTTCTCATTAAAAACCATAATTTTACCCTTTGCCTGCAGGGGAAAAGAAATGACATAATCTAGATATACCAGGGAAGTGAAAAAGTGCTATAGTTACCCCGTTTGCTTTACTTTTGGCATTTTTTTAGGGTAACTTGACATTGACTTTCACTGCAATCATCGAAAGATTTTTCTCTTAAAATAATTCAGAGGGAACAACCTGCTGGCCACCTCTTTAGCCCAGAATCATGACAAGCATTTTAGTTGGAGGATATGATCTTCCATGGCTTTTGTCACTCTCATCACGAAGTTTGACAGTTCTTGTTGGTGGCACCAGGCTAATTTACATTGTCATTTTTTTGTGGAAGTTAAAGTGGCTTTAAGGTTTGAACGAGCTCGCTGCATTTCGAATAAGTCCCAGTGGGTTCTCGCTGAAAGTTTGTCTCTTCACCCAGTAATCTGAATGGGTACAAGCGAAACCCAACCAGATGCGGAAAGTAGGTTATTTGGAATGGACTAGCGTCTCATATAGAAAGAATTTTATTACTCCTTATTGCTTCAAACTAGTCCAGGAGTTCAGATATGAGGTTAGGCTGGAACGAGTGGGTAAGTCATAAATGAGAGCTGGCATGGAGAGACGTCACAACTCTCTTTTTTGAAGATCCTATAAGCATACTTCTTGTATTAGGGATATTACTGAATTTGGGCAACTGAAACTATGAAGTACAATTGATCTGTTAGTGCCGTTCGATTTGTAAAGTACGTTATAGTGTACGATGTACCATATACCTCGAAGGCCTTGGCATGAAGTTCATCAAATGAGCCCACAACCAAAACTTCTGCAGTGATACCTTCAGGCAGAGTACCTACACTGCCTCCGAGGCCAAGCAGGGCAATAGAGTGATTCCTGGGCGTAATCATTTTGGCTGATTCCTTACCACGCACCCAGTGGGTTACATTCACTTCTTCACCATGTACATTATCAAGCTTGTCCTCTTTCAGTTCATCGAGCATGTAATTTATAGCATACTCCAGATTGGCAGAGCCTGCAACTCGACTGCCAAATGTATCGACAAATTTTGCAAGTCTGTCGTAAACTTGATGCTTTCCTGGTCCTTTAGTCAAGAAGTCCATTATTTTGTTCGCTTCAACTTGATGATCGGTTATCTCATTCCTTATCATGTTCAAGGCCTTATTAACACTCCTGGCCGACACTAATGTTAACTGTGGTAGGCAAAAACAAGCAAGACATAGGAAAACGGCCCTTGACTCCATTCTGACTCTGTAATTCCAAGAAAAAGAACTTTGAATGGGGTCAACACAACTCCATCAAGTCAGCCCTGGCGTTAGCTAGTGACCACGTGCCCGGGAACTTTTTCGAGTCAAAGGCGTGAGATTGTTATGTTGAGAAAATGCCTGGATAATCAGAGAGATCCGATATATTGGAAAATGCTTTGGATTTTATGAACATTTATGAGGGTGTATTGAAGAAGTCCGACTAAAATTCATCAAACATTATTCTTAGTTTTATCTGCGTGGTTGCCCTTCAAGTAATTGTTGGGATCAGACTTAGTAAAGGGTGACCATGACCGCTTACTAGAGGTGGCCGCTTAATACATATAAAATATTACACTCATCAAGTGAAGAAAATTTCGGGATGCTGAAAACCAACCGCTAATACAGGGTGACTGCTCAATACGGTGCCACTTATCACAGGTTTGGCTGTATTCCTTTTTCGGACAATATCTCAGCCGCAGGCATAATCAGCCGATACACCACCCGCCTGAAGGGGTTTATTTACTAATTATAACCTCTTCCACTCTCTCATTAATTTTCACACGATTCTATTAACTGCTTTATGTCACGCGGTACAAATCACCGGATAGTAATTACGCAATAATACCGTTTATGTCGATATTTGCGTTCCTATCATTTCCGTTTAGAAGAAACAAAGCCAGCAAGATAAAAAAAAGAAAAAAACAGCTCAAGAGTTTCACTTTTGCACCTTTATTACTGTACATAAAAGATAAACGAACTTGTTTTGTTGACTCCAGTGGTATCGACATTAAAAAGCTGCTCTCAAATGCTGCTTCGGAAAGTACAAAAGGCAACAAAATTTTCGTGCGAAAAAGAAATTAATGGAAGGGTTATAAGATTAATAAAACCCCTTCTGGCTTGCTAGTGTGTCAGCTGATAGTGTCCTTGGCTGAGATAATGACCTCAAAATTTCGCATTTGCCATCAAAGCTTCGGCTCTCTGCCAAATATTCATTTCTCGGACAATATCTCGGCTGCGAATATTATCAGCCGCCTGAAGGGGGTTATTTCCCAAGTAACCCTGTCAACGTACGTCGATAAATGTCCTCCGATTATTTTCCTTGAAAAGAAACAAAGATAGCGGAAAAAGTTAACTAAAGGCTTTCATCTCCATTATTCTTCATCTCTACTATTTAACACGGGAGAAAACGAACTCTTTTTGTAAACTCAGTGAAACTCATTGAAAATGATATTTAAAAGCTGGTCAAAAATACGCATTTGCCATCAGATCAGCGCTGGCTTTTTCAAGAGTGCGATATGAAAATTAATGGGAGGGTTATCAAATAAACAAACACCTATCTGGCTTGCTGGTTTGTCGGTTTGATAATGTCCGCGGCTGAGAGATTGTCCTCAAAATTTCACATTTCCCTCGAGGCTTTGCTTCTGGACCAAGCATACATACGTGTGTGTACACTCTTTTTTTGGTAAGAACGTTCAGAAATACAGGGAAATTACCTTAAGTTTAGTAAGTCCTTCTATGCGTTGGACAGGTCAGCACAAATGTCGTCCGAGTAATTTTCTAATCCCTCTTGGAGGTTGTTCAAGGTACTCATGTACCTATCACCTGCGTGAAACGTGAATGGGCGTTTGGTAAAACGCGTGATTTCCGGTTGCAAGCTTCTGTTTCACGGGGAAGTCAGCATGTCAAGAAGAATTACATTTATGTATATTTTCTGATATTCATGAACCTTTCATTGGACTTTTGTAACCAAGAACCAAAACTAGCATTTCTGAGGCATGGAAGTCTTACAGGGCTGATGTGACGTGGAACATTTTGCTGTCGCGGGAAGGTGATTCGGTGAAAACTGACGTTAGAAGACTCTTGTTTTTAACTGCCACGAGAGGTAAGATTGCGATATCTCGGTATTTCAAAATTTCGCTTCAGCGGAGTTAGATTTTCAGACCAAGACACGCATCATTTAGAGTTTTATTCGTAACTTTCATGCATTTCTTCATTTCAGCGTACTCGTAGGGTGGTTGACCTGTGTTTTGAAGGAGACAGGTGTTTTTAAACGTTGTGGGGGGGCGGGGTCAATCCTTGAGAAGGCAGTAGTTCCAAAAGCTCCTACTACGTATTATCCTAATGAAACGATTCGCGAGAGGATCATGAGGCGGTTTATTTCACCAAACCAATTTATAATTCGCAGGCGATAGTTCCTGCATTGAAAGAGGGAAGGAGCGAGGTCTGCTCCTACCCGACAGCCCCCTCGCTCCCTGCTGTTCGGTTAAGGTTTTGCGTTATCAATTAAACTTCCATGTGGTTTAATTTTAATTTTGGAGGTTCTCAGTGAAACCAGAAGAGTTTTGAAATATTGGTCTTTTGGTTGGCCTAAATTATCCCTCGGCGGTTTAAAAATCAACATTTTAGTAGTTTCCGTTGAAAAACAATTCTTTTATTTGAAAAATTCTGTCAATTACAAATCTTCCTCAAAATTTTGAAAGAGGGATTATCCCAGAAATAAAAAAATCCACATGTTGTTACGTCCAGACAAGATTTTCCCCACAGAGATTAGTAAGCTTCAGCTATGAGTCAAAGCCTCCAAAGGCAGGATGGACTTTGATATTTGAAAAAAATGACAAAGGACCCATCTTCCCTGAAGGGGAATAGAGTATGTCTAGAAATAGTGACAGTAGTTTCACTTTAACAAGGGGAATCAACACCTTTTGCTGATGTCTGATGTCTATGTCAGCTTGGGTGCTATTGTGCTTGTGCCATATGACTACATAGTAGAGCTCTTAGGAATCCTCCTTGTACAGGAATTTGTTAAGTTGTCCTTGGGAAGCTATTGAATAGGATTGTAATGCCCCAGAAGACTTTTTCTTTCCCTGTACAGAGGACCATAACTTGCAAAACAGTAAGGAGTGAAATATTTCCCTACCTAAGTTTCCTAAAAAAACCTACAACTACAAAGTGTTAACTTAACTTAAATTAATTCACACCTTCAAAACCTGTTGATTTAAACCATGTTTAAGAGAACTCATAAACCAAATTTCCCACAGGATTCAAGAAATGGCCAACTTCTGTTTTCAACGTGCTTCATTTAATGTCAACAAACATCAATTTAAGCAGCTTCTATGAAGAAAAAATTTTAAACCATGCTTTGGTGTGAATGGGGTATCATTTTAGTAGTATATACTTGTGTTTAAAAAAATATACTTTAACTACTAGAATCAAATTCCAATGAACTATTCTATCTGGTGAAAGGCATGCAGTAGAATTAAAAAACATGTTCTCCTGTCTCTAAAGTATAGATCATGCCACACCCTCCCTCTCCTTTCCTACCTAAATGTTCATCTCATCTCACACTAAATTATATTTAAAAAATATTATTTCATTTGCTTTAGTGTCTGTGTCTTGAGCTCATTGCTACCTTAAAAAAAGTAGTAAGACTTTTTACAATACTGAAAATGAAAGAGAACTACATTGGTAATCATAGTTCTGCTGTTACTAGTTTCGAGGCAGCATTTCATCCAGATTGGCAACAGTGTAAGCCACAACAGTCCACACTGCAGCACACAGGTCCATGGCATCAGGATCCTGTACAGTCATGGTGTCACCATTTGAGTGGTGGAAATAGAAGTACTTGCTGTTCTCATTCTTCAAGCTTCCACCTGGTACCCCATCTTGGATCCAGAAGGTGATATCCCCACCAACATGAGTAACTGTTAGGTTAGTGACATTAATTGGCTTCAACAGCTCCATCACATCCTTCATAATGACTGCTGCTTTTTCACTGCCTTGAAACACTATCCCTAGAGGCTTGAAGGTTCCAATATCAGACTCCATCACCAAGCTGAAATTTCCTGCACTATCTTTGTGTCGGTTGTAGTATTGTTCTGCTCCAAGAAGACCCACCTCTTCTCCTGTCCATAGCACCATCCGCATTGTGCGTTTTGGTTTGAGACCTAGTTGTCGAATAACTGACAGTGCTTGCCAGGAAATGAATGCACCACCTCCATCATCCATTGCACCTTGACCAACATCCCAGCTGTCAAGATGGCCACTGACAAGAACCACCTGAAAAAAAAGAGGACATCACAAATAGATGTTAAATACAATGACAAGATTCAGACATAATTGATAAATCAGGCTCTGGTTATTTGCAAGGTGGATATAGCTATTCATTGAATAAATATCTAACTGGTGGACAGTGAAGTCTGTTTACAATACAATACAATTTATTTTATGTCGGTAACGTAGGGGGTGGTTACCCAATCCCCCGAGCCTAATGGCTCATGTTGAAAACGCTCGACAGTTAAAGTACAGATGTGTATATAAATATATGTACAAGTTAAATATATGTATATATGACGAAAAAAAGAAACACAAAAATATCACCTAGCCCCCTACCCCTAGTCCTAATCCTGAACCTCCCCTGAAACCCTACCAGCCCTAATCACCTAACTTGTAGCCCTAACCCTGAAGCCTAATTACCAATTCATAACCCTACCCCTACAATTGTATACTAATACATTTATTACACTTACAGCCAAGCATAGTTATGCAAGATAGGCCAGTCTTAAATTCTGCTAGAGTAGTTGCTGATTTAACTGAAGATGGTAGCTGGTTCCAGGAATGAGAGATAATACATGAAAAAGAGCTATGAATATGGCTAGAGGTATTTACAGGCTGGGAAACATTAAGAGCAGAGGAGCGCAAATTGTAGCGACAGACCCTAGGTGTGAAAAAATTAGAGATATACGAAGCTCCCTGTAGCCTGTATGCCTTGAAAAACATGATTAAAGACGCAGTAAGTCCTGTTTTGTTAACACTCATCCACTGGATAGTGAATTATCCTTTGGATAGTATTAAGCACCCTTTGACCAATTGGGCCCTGGTAGCCATTAAGGAAAAAATGAGCTCCATGAAATGCAGATACCTGTTCTGGATGCACGCTGCCTTCTATCTCAGCAACTGTGTTCCTAGAAACTACTTGTGGCAAATTTTGGGCTTCCATTTTCAAATTAACTATTATTTTTGTTCCTCTAGCAGCCATCCTGGTCATCATTTCTGCATCCTCTATTGTAATACAGGCTGTCGGAATTTTCTTCACTCCTGTGACAAATGACATCAATATCCATTGAATTGCCATGCCCTACCTTGCATTTTATAGGCCTGTTTCTAATAAAAGTTAGATGCTTATAAAATAATTTTCAACCTGTATACTGCAGGTATCTGTTTGGTACAACAATTAATGCTTCTTTCTACATTATTCAAAAGATTGTCCAATTATAAATTTCAAATTTTTAAAGTCAAGTGACCCAAAGGGTTTTCTTCCCATTCACAGACTTTTTTCTCTTTTTCTTATAACTAATTCTTGATTTGGTCAAGGCCTAGATGAAGATGCTTAAAGTTCTGAGATTTTGCCTTAATTTGTGCTTTCAAAAAATTAGAATTTAATCTCGAAGAAATTCATCTGACTCTCTCATGGTCTCAATTCCAGCATTTCTTTAGCATTGCCCTGTAGGTGAGAGACACTGGAGTATGGTGAGACCACATGACCACTGCAAAAAAAGGCTAGTAGGCTAATTAAAAAAAAAAGGCTTATCATATCTTATCATTTTCATGGTTGGTTAAAAAGCAATAGGTAAAGATAGAGAGGTAATATACTTAAAGGTTTTGATAAGTTTACCTTTCTCATAATATTGCCAACCAGTATGAGGACTGTAGATAGAAAATGGTGTCACAGAACGGATGAGGGAGGCAAGGCCACCAACTTTAGCCACCTCTGCAGCCCCTTGTGTACGATAAACCACTGTCTTCCCATAACTAATCCATTTCTCATTTAAAACCACAATTTTACCTTTAGCCTTTATGGAGGAAAGTATATTGCAATAAAGATATCATTATGACAACTCGAGTAGAGAAAAGAGTTGTTTTTTTACACAATATATTCTTTTGTAATATATATTTACTAAACAATGTCTCTGCCTTAATCTTCGAATTTGTTCTCATGCAAATACCAGTGAGTAAAGTAAGTATAGCATAGAAGTAGCATTTATGAATGATACAGTTTCCTATGACTTTTAAATAACTGAAACTTCTGATGCTAGAAGTTAACTGGGAGCCAGTAGGGGGCAAGGGGAAAAAGAAATTCAGGAAGGATATGACTTGCTGTTTGGCAAGGAAAGTGACAATTCATTATGATGAAACAACAGTAGCATTTGCCCCCAAATTCCAGATCTAGGTCCTAAAAAAGAGAGCCACCACTTTAATGGTAGGTCCTACCTGATTTCTTATGAAGTTTTGACTTAACTATGCAAAAACAGAAAAAAGGAGGTAAGTTCCTAAAGAAACTGCATCGTTGCATCAGTAGGGAGAGGAAGGGGGGATTATGAGTTAATTTGAATTTATCAACTGAGTTGATACTACATAGAAAGATGTACCATATACCTCTGAGGCCTTGGCATGAAGTTCATCAAATGAGCTCACAACCAAAACTTCTGCAGTTATACCTTCAGGTGGAGTACCTACACTACCTCCAAGGCCAAGCAGGGCAATAGAGTGATTCCTGGGCATAATCATTTGGGCTGATTCCTTACCACGCACCCAGTGGGTTACATTCACTTCTTCACCATGTACATTATCAAGTTTATCCTCTTTCAGTTCATCAAGCATGTAATCTATAGCATGTTCCAGATTGGCAGAGCCTGCAATTCGACTGCCAAATGTATCAACAAACGTTGCAAGTCTATTGTAAACTTGATGCTTTCCTGGTCCTTTTGTTAAGAAGTCTATAATCTTGTTTGCATCAGCTTGATGATCTGCCATCTCGTTCCTTACCATGTTTAAAGCTTTGTTAACATCCCTGGCTGATTCTGACATTAATGACAGTGAGCAAGTCAGAACAACATGCAACCAAATAATCCTTAGCTCCATGTTAACCCTAAAATTGCACAAGAAAAAAAAAATTAAGAAAAATCTAGACATGACAGTGCAAACACTTCACCCTACGTTAATTCTGCGCAAATGCTAGCCAGGAATTACAGTTAAATCACACCATGGTTCGATTGCTCCCAGTTAGATTGCTCCAACCAAAAGTTAGATCGCTCCATTTGAAAGTTAGAAAGTTACAAAGTTTCGTCAAATCAGTGACTTTGCCACCAACATAAGTTACTTGACTCCATGTAGAAAACTAAGATAATGGCAGCAAAACTAAGGTATTTAAATTGATAGTTCATTAAATGACGTACATATTTTACTGAACAATTGATTGATATTGCTTGTGCATGCTTGAAATAAATCCGAGCTACTCAGAAAGAACAAGTAAAGCCTCATGAAAGGTATTCACAAAGTGTAATCTACTTTATTAATTAAAGATGGCAGATATCAGTTTCCTTATATCAAACTGCAAAAAAAAGCCACACTGGATAGTATTGGTATTTGAATGATCTTTTTCAATACACTTCAGACTATAACGTTATAATTTATTCTATGATCATTTATTCCATCATCACTGTACATCATACATCAGTAGCTCGGTGGCTAATATGAAGGACAGAGTGTATACGATGTACTTGAATTGTCTCAAGACACATCATCACCTATAAACTTTAAAGATCATTGGTAAGTAATACTTCACTTTACAACATGGAGCGAAGTAACTTATGTTGGTAGCGAAGTAACGTATTTGATGGAGCAATCTAACTTTCGAGTGGAGTGATCTAACTTTTGGTCGCAGCAATCTAACTGGGAGTGATCTAACCATGGTGCGATCTAACTGGATACCCTAGCCAGCCATTAATCTTTAATGCTCTAACATCAGTTGATATATTCTTTAAATTCTTCTCGTTGACAACGAGAATTTGTTTAACATCAAAGCTTCTTAAGTTGGCTATCATTTCCATTTTTCTCATGCTTTAAATAAATGATTCTGCATTAATTATTGTAAGGAGGTATTGAATGCTGTCACTTTGATCACTTTTCGGGCGGAAGTTACAATTTGCAACATTTCAAATTCAACGGAATCCGTAATACTGATAGTGTCGCGGTTGTTTAAAAGTCGATTAGAATATTGAAAAATCTGGCAGATTTACTTGTGGCTTTCTACCCATTGCCATTTCGTAATTTTGACAATTCTAACCTCATGAATTAGTTATCGCCGTGTGGTCGTTGCTACGGAAGTTGAACAATACCTTGCAGTCAGCATAGGTTCGAGAGTTAGATTAGGAACCGAAGTCGGTTTTATTCACTAAATGGAACAAGATTACCCGGACCTCCAACGTTCATGGACATCCACCCACTCAGCTGTTAGTGATTATGCAGATTCTTTCTAGCTTGTTACACTCCTTTGAAAAAGATCTGCAGCTCGTAGCAAAAACGACTAAGCTTTTTAATCCTAAGTTGCGAATAATTTTAATTTTACATTCCGAAAGACGATTAGTTTTCGCTTACCTCTACCTGTAGTACTGTGAAGTCCTTTTCCTCTTGAATTGTTTAAGATTCAGTCAGCGCTTTCTTATACCGTAAAGGTTTCCTCAGTCTTTCACGCTTCTGAAAGACACTAATCGCTTCTGTGTACTTATGACCAGTAGCTGTATTCATCTTTCGTCAATATGTACCTCTCGACCTGCATTCTTCCTCATTTTCATTGGTTAGCACTTCTGTTCCTTTGCAATTGGCTGCTGTCCGATTTAGCCTGTCTTAATCTAATGGATGGGTGGACTACTAGAAACATTGTAAGTGATGTCTACATTCTTACAAAAGGAAAGAAGTGTATTAGCGCGGAAAAGAACGAAAATGTCGAATTAACTCACACACAGATATTTTGTGGTACTTTGACTGTGTTGTGCGAATAACTGTGACCAAAACTAAAACATTGGTGCCACGGGTACCTGTTAGTACAACATGCAGACTGCAGACCGGATACAAAATGTAGACTAGGTACAAAATGTTGACTGCACACTGCAGAGTGGGTACAAAATGCAGACTGAGAATCTAAAGAGTTTTTTCGTCTGGTATGTGGCAACATGTCATCTTGCAATTTACCAAGCGTCACGCAATCGCTTTTCCGCGATCAGCTTCCACGATTATTTGCGCTATCGTGGAATATTCCAGCCCGTTTCATGATGAAAATCGATCGCAATATAATTTCAAGCCTTCATAGAGTCTTCTCACTTTGTGCGCGAGGTGGTTGGTGTGATTTCTGTACAGATTTTACCAACGTAATAAAAGTAGAGGTAGATGTAGATGCAAATGAGATGTCACTATTGAATATTTGACACGCGAAACATTCGAGAAGCAATTGACGGCTTTGCACGTGGTCCGTATTATCATCCTTTTTAAGTGTATGTGTTTATTTTGTTGACATAAATGCGGACCGAGACCAAAACTGTTCCTTCGACTTAATATATTTTCGACGTTTGTAGATTACATCATATTAACTATTCATTCCAGATAACAAAATCAAATAAACATGCTAACGATGGTATCTGAATTCGTCCTTGGCCAAACACAAGCGACTCCACAAGATCACTTTCTCCAGGCATCGAAAATATACACAAAATCGGTTAGAATTAATTTTAATGAAACATTCATCTAGAGATAGCACCGAGCAAACTAATCCAGAAAAATGTAATCGGCACACTCAACAAATCATGAATCTTGCGACAAAGCTTGCCGTTAAAGAACTGCTCAAATAAAAAAATGTTTGGTACAATTCATCAACGCCTCAAATAGTATTTGATTCAAAATTTTTCCACTCACTATCGTCGTGAAGGAACAATAACCATGATCGCGCTACAGTGCACAGAACTCCACTTTCTCTCGAACAACTATCCACCATTTCCACAGCACGAGTAACACGTTTACTGTAGGTAATCTGATATTTTTCATCTGTCCAGTAGTATCGCATTTTCTCATAAAGCGCGGTAAAATACATGTACACATTAAAAACACAGAAAAGCCAACGTTTCTCATTCATTCTCTCCGAATCCCCTATTACTTTGTTGAAATTTTAACTAAAAAAACAACACAAAAACCTATCGAGAGTTATGAGAGTTGTTAGCTAGTACATGCCACACAAGTGAATAGTGCTTTTCCCGCGCGTTGATTGTTTAATTCGGAAGTGAATAACAAGCGCTCTTGACCTCCACTTTGGTGAATAAATATTAATTATTCCGGAGCCTACATCATTTCGTCCCAATGGGCATACCAGTATGGCTACTTTCGCACAATCCAAAACTTGTGAAGTCGGGCAATACTTAGATCGATTTTACTGCTTCTAAGTGTTGAGGTAACCTTATCATGACTGTGATGAGTGAGTTATCCTCCTTGGGTACAGCGTTAGAACAATTTATACCCGAGGAAAGTCCCTCTCTCGTAGATTGGTTGGAAATGCAAAACTTAATCAAGAAAGAAAGCAAATTATGATCGAGTAGGGCTGGGTCTCATACTCCCATCATTCCTTGCTCGCCTACATGATAGCTCACCACCACGCGTTCCACCATGTCTTCTAAATTGTGTTTCTGATTCCTCGCTTTACCTCTTAGTCGTGTGGTGACTTAGTTATAGGGCTTTCCACTCTATCCATATAGGTTTAAGGAAATGTTTCAAATCACTGTTGGAGCGTAAAATGATGCAAGCAGCGGGACAGGTAGTTGGTAATGGTGCAGTAGAAAGGCGTATGAGCTCTGATCATATCAAGGTAAACCCGCACAGAAATTCAATTTTGGGGCAAAGTTGTCGTAGTTAAGAGCTTAATAAGAAAGTGATGAGCAAAGTGCCTTCCAAGCTTCACCGAGTTTTGTTAAATTAAGTAAACTTCAGGGTAAATTTAACTGCCAAGGCATATTTTGCAAGCTGTGAAATCTGTTTCCTAGAGATCTGTTGATTTGACGTAGCTCAGTGGCCGATACATTTCTGTTTCTTAATCTGTGTCCGCTCAGAATTATCAATTCAACTTATTATGAGCATTTGAATTATTTTTTTTGTTTGAAATTAGCCGTTTTTTTGGTTGTTCAGTTGGTATGTTAATTTTAAATTTGAGCTTTTCCCAATCGATGAAATTGGTTTTGCTTGTCAAGGATGGAGGTGTCACATTTTGGAGCACAACTGAACGCGGAATTAAAGCAGAACTGCGGCTACAACATCATCCTTACGACACAGAATCATGGGGAGTACTAATAAGAGAGGCACAGGTAAAAACGGGATTTTTTTTTAAACAAATCAGCGCTAAAAACTTATTGCAAAGATGCGAATTATTCATTGTTATTACATTAGCTGTAACCCAGATGTAGAACTGCCCGAAATTTTCTAATATTGAAGAAAAAGGCAAGGCTGATAATGTAAAATCATTGCCAAACCAAGTTTTAGTTTTTGTAAGATTTAATTTGAAAATACGTATTTCGTGTAGTCATTAAACTACATGATTATGTATGCAAAATGGCTTCCTTTCAGAATTCTTGGAAAGTGCTAAAGAAATTAGATTGCTTCATTTGTGAGATTATTTTTTAATGGTATGGAATCTAAGTTAAGTGTTTCTAGTGTTTCTACTGTATAATTTTATTGATAAAGAACACGCCAATATTGACACAGAATTGTGCACGCGTCTGAATTTCTTCGACCTTTAAACTCGACAAAGAAGCTTTAAAGCTTTCGAAAGTTAGATTAGACAACTTTTAAAAGACTGAAATGTATCACCTTAATGTCACGTTTTCACCACCAAAAAGTTCAATAATATACCATGCAGGTTATCCACCAGTGTGGGTAATCTGTTGACTTTTTTTTCGCCGTATGCAATAATTGGCCGGTGCAGGTAATCGGCCGTGTGGGTAAATGGCTGGAAATTACAGTAATTACTCTTCAGGCAAAGAACTGGTAAACTTGGAAGAAGACATTGAGGAAACAGAAGCTGTGATTGATCATTCTACAAGAATTGGAAACACTGAATGATCAATGTCTTTACAGCAGACATTTTGAAGCTATTTTTTTGGCAGACAAATGCTTTTGTTGTCAAGAGCTGATTGGCCTACATAGGCAAGAAACTGGCAAAAGACACAGGCAGTTTTATTCCTTTCACTCACAGGTCTAACTAAAACACATAGACAGACATTCCTGCCACACAGTGAAAAGCTATGGTAAATTATAATCTGAGTACCCTGATAAATGATACTAAGATCAATTGAGTGTTTTCATAATACACATGTAAATCCTCTTTTCACTTGTGTGCGGTGACAGTTTTGAGATGATAGCTGAGGATTTGTTGTTGGGTCTTAAGGAATTATTTTTGGGATGGTGTCCTCCTTTGGCTTGTACTTTGCAGGTGTTCAAAGAATTTCAAACTTGAGTTATTGTTTGTAATGAGGTGCTTTGCAATTTCCTTGAGAAATTTTGCCAGCTATTTTCTTTTGAAGATTTTGGTGTGACTTCACTCATGCATATTCTGTGCAACACACCATAAGTAAATTACTGATGGTTAGAAACTAAATTGAAGAAAGCCTGAAAACATTGTCCACCTCTTTCTCAAAATGACATTAATTCTAACTCTGAAAAAGTTCACACTGTGTTTGCAAAAAAGTACAAAAGCATACCATACAAACAAACATATCTCTTTACATAAACAAATGAGACAACTCAATTGTGTGATTTAATGACTTACTAACTGACTGTGCTTGGGATTGTGTACAACCACGTTGAGTTTTTCCATAGATCTCTTGCCCACAGACTACTGGGCTAATAAGGTTTCCAAACAACTTCTATATATGAAAGTATGGAATATTTAAGAAATTAGAAAGTATATGACCTTACAAAACTGTTCATGGGAAGTCAAGAGATGGCTAAATAAACAACACAGACATATTCACTGATTGATTTATGACATTCTCAGCCATCCAAACCCAGCCTGAAGTCAAACATTTTCTCAGTGTGAGAAACATGCCTTATCATTTCCCTTTTTATTTTAATCATTATAAGAAGCCACACAACTTCAATAAACCTACTGAATGCAAGTTTTGAGGCAACAGTGTCTATGGGGATCTGATCTCTTTTCCATATCAGTGACTGATATTAACCACTGACATTGATTTTCTGAGTCATGGTACTGCTGGGTAAAAAAATATTTTTTCAAAGAGAGGTTCAAACCAAAGACTGAAAAAAAAAAACTTTTGAACATTTATATTTAAGCTGTAAGCTGCAATTTTAAAATGGTTAAAATTTAGAGCTTCAGTTCCCCTTTCAACTTTGAAATTTTATTGGTTTTTATCTTAAATACAAAAAAGTTCTTAAAAATAATTTTCTCAATTTGTTTGTTTAAAAAATTTTATCACTGTTTTTGCTGTTGAATGTTAAAAGTCACTTTGGATTAATCAGTTCAATTCTTTTAAACTGTAGGTTCTTTTATTATTATTATTTTTAATTTTCTCATCATTAATTTCCATGTATGTATCATTAGAACTGATAATACAACAGAGATGTTTGAGTTAATTCTGTGTTAAGAGCAAATATTTTTTCTGTTTTATTTGCTTTAGAATACTCCTTTGGAAACATCTAGAGTTCTGTGTGAAAAGCTTGTAAGACGATTCCCTAATGCTGGTCGTTACTGGAGATTATACATTGAGCAAGAGGTTTTTAGAATTTGTAGTTTCTTTAAGATTTGTTAGCTCTGAAAATAATTTTACTAGTCTCTTCTTACAAATTCAGATCTTGGTATCTGGTGCACTTGTGTCTATAAGTCCATTCTTAGTCTCTGCAGACCCTGTGATGTAGTGTTAACATATTGCACTGTGATTTTGAGCCTAATTTTTGGGCAACCAGAGATAACTTGTGTAAATTGCTAGTAATTTTGCCGCAAATTTAGGTGATTTTTTTGCCCAAAGAATTACTAGCAGTTTGTACAGGAACTCTAAGGAAATAGTGTCTGCTCATAGTGCAGGACAAAATTATTTGACTAGGGTTACAATTGTGCAAAAGCTTGATTTATTTCATAAGATATATGATGTGACCATAAATAAGGGAGGTTAAAGGTAGGCACAAAAGGTCACCTAACTGTTGGCACAATTGCCACAGAATAAAGGTTCTTGGTTGAGTTCTCTATTTAAAGTGAAATGCTATGTTTGTTTGCTCTGTTTAAGAGCGAAATAAATGGGCTTTTTCAATACTGTGTCCTTTTTCAGACTAAACAGAGATTTGACTCTCAAAAATGTTTGTGTTGTGTTTGCATT